CAAGAGCTAGGATTGTTCTATTTTTGGTGAAGCGTTAGGGTCAACTATATAATTTTGAACTTGAGCAGAGACGCGTAGGATTGATTTCGTATTTTGAGAAGAGTAAGCTTTCATTCAATACAAAATAATCACATTTCAGGTGTGCATGATTCATTATTTTATGACGGATTTCCTGTTGCATACGACTGGATTTCTTGTTGCATACGAAGGGATTTCCTGGTGCATACAGCGGAATTTATTGTTGCAGGCGATGTTATTCTTGTTGCATATAGACGAGATTCTTGTTGCATACTACATGGTTTCTTGCTGCATGCGACGAGATTTCCTACTGCATACGACGAGTTTTGTTGCATACGACTAGATTTCTTGTTGCGTGCGACGGGATCTGATGTTGAATGCAGCGGGATTTCTTGTTACATGCGACGGGATTTCCTGTTGCATGCAACGGAATTTCTTGTTGCATGCGACGGAGTTTCCTGTTGCATACGACTAGATTTCTTGTTGCATGCGACGGGATCTGATGTTGCATGCAGCGGGATTTCTTGTTGCATGCAACGGAATTTCTTGATGCATGCGACGGAATTTCTTGTTGCATGCGACGGAGTTTCCTGTTGCATACGACTAGATTTCTTGTTGCGTGCGACGGGATCTGATGTTGAATGCAGCGGGATTTCTTGTTACATGCGACGGGATTTCCTGTTGCATGCAACGGAATTTCTTGTTGCATGCAACGGAATTTCTTGATGCATGCGACGGAATTTCTTGTTGCATGCGACGGAGTTTCCTGTTGCGTACGACTAGATTTCTTGTTGCATACGGCGGTCTAATGTTGCATGCAGCGGGATTTCCTGTTGCATGCGACGGAATTTCCTGTTGCGTAGGACTAGATTTCTTGTTGCATGCAGCGGGATTTCCTGTTGCATGCGACAGAATTTCTTGTTGCATGCGACGGAATTTCCTGTTGCGTAGGACTAGATTTCTTGTTGCATGCGGCGAGATCTGTTGTTGCCGTGACGGGCTTCTTTGTCGCACGCATGTTTTTTTGTGTTGCATACCACTGGACTACAGGTTGCAGAGAAGGGATCCGTGTTGCATACGGTAGGAATTTCTGATGCATGCGACAGGAATTCCAGTTTCATCGGCATTTCTTGTTGCATACGACGGTATATCCTGTTACATACATACAGCGGAATTGCCTTTTGCAAACGGACTTGCTTAGAAGTTCTATCGCATTATCAAAATAAACTTCAGCAAGGGAGATTTGGAGTTTTGACTTCTTCAAACCCCAGATTCGTAATTAGGGCCAGGAATAGGCCGAGAACGGTGGAAGACATTGTGTATGGGCCCTATCTTCCATTTCATTGCTAACACATAACATTCTTATCACTATAGGAGTAATTTATCACTATGGACTTCCAATGTTTGATCTTTTCGTTCTTTGTCTCATGACTCTGTGAAAGTCAAATCGTAATCTTGTTCTGCAAGATTTTCTAAACTTTTTGCCTAGTGCCCTTTGAGAATAACATTCGACTTTGCCAATGTGCACTGCCAAATCGGATTTTCATGGTTTTTGTGTGCAACAGAGGCCTATTCTCAAAATTGGGCACCTTCTAGAAGTCCTATGCTCTATTCAACTTGAAGAGTACGGCGTGTAAGTGTTCGTGCACTATTCTCATATCTCAAAGGGTTCTTCGTAACTTTATCTCCTTGCGATTTCAACTTCATAAATAATTCTGTATGCTTAACATAAGAAGATTGCTTACCGCATGCCTTAGAGCCATTTTCGTTGCCTCGTTGTCAATAAGCGAATGCAATTTTCGGTCATTATTTCACATTATAGTCTGTAAAACCTTTTCAAAGTCTACATTTTTCTATTCTTCTTCACAATCTTCAAATTCTGCTCTGAAGATTATCGTAAACATTGCTGAAAATTTTTCGTAAGACTGCAAAATTTTATCTTTCTGCGTATAGCTCCCATACAACAGGGGTAGACAAAAGTTCCTCATCAAAGTTTTTTCCTAAAACTGTCTGCCCTGCGAATTTGAGGTTGCAACAGCTGTTTTACTGTAAAATAGAGAAAAATGTTAAGGCTCATTTTTCTATGTTTTTGAAGCACCCGTGAGGGCAATTTGCCTCCCAATCTGCCTTGCTCCAATATCACATTGAAATCAACTTTAGTACGTGTACTTGGTTCTGTCTTTCAAGGTTTGTTATATAATAAATTCTTTTTGAGCAAGAGTACCTTCCACAGTGAATGTCAAAAACAAAAGCCCTTTTTTTTCTAGATCCCATTATTGTTTAGCTCTTAAAATAATTTGTTGATTAGATCATTTTGTTGTTAGAGCATTTTCATGGATCCGCGTGAAATGGCGAACTCATAGCAGAAATATCCCTTGAAATTTCGAAATTCAAGAAGTGATCACGCTCAGTTATTTCTTTTAAAAAAAAATACGAAATTCAAAATTATTGATCGTGTTACTGTGGCTTGTTTGTATGTTTCTCGTCAATTTCAGTAATTATTAGGCTTTTTAGACTCTTTTTGAAAGTCTTGATTTTAATCCTTAACAATTTTCATATTTTCTCTCTCTCTCATTCTATCCATTCACTTAGACTACCGAGATGTTTTGAGGGTTTGTTTTTGTCTGTAAAGGATTACGACAAATTAACCTTGCTTAATACCCGTGACAGACAACTCGTCTGCTCGGTACGAGTCGTCTGCGTCTGACATTTGTTCTTAGTAAATTGAAAATTTTGGGCATTCGTATCGTGGTCCATCTAGCAAACTTTATTTTTCGAAATTGGAATTTTTAGACCGGTTTCGCAATAAAATCTTCAGCATAAAACAATAGAAAACAAATTAGCTTTGCTATAATACGAAGCAATAAATAAAACCCGAACATGAGCCCCAATCACCTATGAGGTTGCTGCAAATGACAGATAGCCGGCTGTAAAAACAGCTAGCTGTAAGAACAGCTGACGAGTGGCTGTTGGCGGGGCAGAGCGGGAAGGTGTTGAAATGTGCTGAGAAATCTTTGAGAAGATCCGTAATTTGTATTAGCGAAGAAAATTTTCTGGAAACTGCACAGCAGTTGGATCAAGTAACATGATTGATGGGTCCTGGTACGAAAAATAGCTGCGACTTTTTGGTGCATGCTTGCCGTACATACATACATACATACCATGATTTGTAAGCACTGCTTTTCTGTGCAGGTGTCAAGTAGACAAAAAATTCTAGTCTCCTGGAATTTCTGGAAAATAAGTGGTCTCCTGGTTTTCTAAAACTGGCATAGAATTTTCAATCGTTTGTATATTTTTCAAATGCCACTTAAGTCAGAAAATTTTTTATTATTATTTTCACAAGTTTTATCCATAGATCCCGTCGCCTTATGCATTTTGAAGCCATTTTCTACAAATAAAAAAATCATAACAATTGAGTTTCTCTTTATTTGAAAGAAGAAGAAAAGGAACGCTCAGGTGAAGTTATTTCCAAACCATTCATTTCGCTACCTTTCTCGAAAATTTGCTCTCAATGTTTCTTCCCCCCTCCCCCCATATACGTGTTGATGTGTGCATGAAAAAAGGTTCCTCAGCCCTTTTATCGAATTATCTAGCAAGAACTAGATTATACTTACTCTATGACGGCTAGTGGAGATCTTTGAGAACCTAACCTTTAACTCAATTCTATCCTAAGATTCCTCACACGCTGACTTCCGTTACCTCGAAGGACTTACTTATTCGACTTTTTTACATTCTACTGAAGTTATTCTTCGTAGATTTCTGCTTGAAGGCTGTGTCCAGGTAAATTTGATTTGCATTTTTTATGTAAATTGTAAATAGGTTATTTTAGCTTAGCAACTGCTTCAGCGGCAAGTCAAATGAGTCGTTCGCGGCTAAGAAATTCCATTCCAAAGTCTCGCCCACTACCGTACACTGTACGGCGCGTACGGTACTGGGCGAGACTTCAGTTCTGAAGTTCTCGCTTACAAATAAGTCATATGATCTGCGATTTGGGCAATGGCTTTGTTACGGCTTTCTAATCGTTCCCATCTAGGAAAGCCAGTTTTCAAGGGTTATCCGCGTACTGCCTTTTTCACATACTTTCTTGTGTGGTAAATCACTGCTTCCATTTCTTGAGTACCACTGGGGATTAGCATGAAGAACCTTTCGAAGTGCAACTTATGTCGCATTTTCCTCAACTTGACCTTTTCTGCTTAAACAAGCAGCAATAATCGTCTCTGTTTCTTCTAGTTCTTCATGGTGGGAAGTCTGAAGGAGCCATCAAAATCCCATCTATTTTCGAGCTTTTTGTTTACCCAAGCCAAGACATATCGCTTTTACGACAACTGAGCTGGGAGATAACTCGTCCTTCTTCCACTTGGCGAGCAACTTTTTTATGAAAGAGTAATCTACAGCTTTTCTTCCGATTTAGCAGTCTATAAGGCTTATTTTCGTAGAAAATTTACTTCTTTTTCGATCGTTTTTTACAAGTTTTCTGCAGTTTATACATTTTTCGGGTCCTTAAACACACATTCTTGCCCTACGTGTGTCCTTCCTTCCAGGATTTTTCTACCAAGATTTATCTGTCAATTGTAGCATTTTTTCCGGATTTTCAATTAAATATTCTTGTCTTGTTCCGTTCCATGCCATTTTTGTGGACCCATCAATTATTCTTACCTTAATTTTTCCTAATCAAGACTCTTTTGCTTTTTATACCATTTTTTTGGTTTCCAATGAAATTTCCTTGTTTTAGTTCGATTTTTCCTTCTTATATCCCTCAGAAAATTACCAAATCCATTCTCTAATGCATTATTTGCTTATTCCAACATTATCAATCAGATTTTCGCCAACATTGCCTCGTTCGATCATTCATCTCGACATCATTCACATCCACTATGCATGTCCATTGATGTAATCGCAATTCTTTTATTTCAACGTGTCGTTATTGCTTGATTCGATGATATTCGTGCCGCAAAAATCCAATTACAAATCTCTAATACTGGCTATTTTCAGTTCTTGACGTGCTACGGGCACTTGATCAACTTTTGAAGAATGATGGTGAGTCAAATCTTGGAGCTAACTTTGCTTTGAATAGAATTTGCTAGTGATTCATCGGCAGTATGGAACTTACAAGATAAAGATTCTCACTGTAACTACTCCTAGTTTTTAGGTGAAACAAAAAATGTTGCATTAGTTTTGAAAATTTCGAATTCATTTCATTTTTCATGAGAATGATATTTACATATTTACATTTTGTAAAAATATAACAGCCAATCAATTAATTCATTCTATTGATAACCCTAGGTCATCAGCTGTTGAATTTTCCCAAAAAGGATACATTTAACAAAATGAGGAAAATATCAGAAATTTTTACGGGCTTTTATTTTTATTCGGCTCAAAGACTTCAGACAATTTAGTTTTTATGAAAGCTTTTCTTTTTTTTCAAAGACTACGATCATTATGGTGTATTTGAGATTCTGTTTGTTGCTTCTTCTTGGAGTAAAAAACATAATCACATACTTATTTTACCTATTTCTTTACATTTCATCTTTAGCAGATTTATCATGTGGGATTATATGCTTTCTCCAGGTAATTACATAGTATTTTTATTTGCAAGAATAAGCTTTATGGAAATGAAAATTCGCATTTTTGACATACTTCATTACTTTCAGTGGGTGGAATGAATTGCTTTTAAAAAGATGTTTCTTTCACTTTATTCTTGAAAATTGCTCTAAAATGAGAAATCGGAAAGTTCGCGCTTGTAAATTTGCTACGTTTTATTCGAAAAGATAAAAGAGATAAAAAAACTGTATATCTACTTCAAAAAGCTTTTGTCACACAAATTTCAAACGATTTTTCGAATTTTTGGTTTTAGCCTCGAGCATGAGGTCGGACACCTTCTTCTTACAAGCGTTTCGATCAGATTCTACAATTTTTTCCTTTAAATCAAGGAAGTGATGTAAGAATCTCTCGGCTCCTTAGGAGAAAAAGGTTTTTGGATTTTGTTCCGCTTTCAGAATAGAATGCTAATATCAATCATTTTCGCCATATCGGAAAAATCCCTTGAGGTGAGGCAAAAGTCTCTTTTTTTCCTTGCCAACTGACAAATTGAGATTTGTTGGCAACGTTTTTTTCTTGATTGAATGGTGCTACGTGTTGAACATATGCATGTATGTAAGCGTTTGACGATAAAAAAATTTTTTGAGTCAAGATATAACCGGAAAAATCATAAAATCATTTTTTGAAATCTTTTTAATGCTTTTTGCTTCTGTCCTTTCACTGAAAACTCTCCAAATTTGCGCTTAGGAAGCTTTAAGAAAACGGAAAAATCAAAAAAAAGGAAATTTTTAGCTTTGCTTTTCAAACATCCCCAATAAAAAATCAAAATTATAAACTGAATTTCAACTTTGATATCCTACATGACCTTATATACATTCGTTATCAACTAAAAAATTACGTATCAAATATTTATCAAAATTGCAAAAGCTATTTTCTTTATCAAATACCCTTATAGATATGTGCAGAGTTTTTTCACATATTTATAAAAATCATACCCATTTTGGCCTTTGGGATCCAATCTTCTTTATATCATTTCAATCCATTTTTCGAAGGCTCGACTCTATTTGACTGATTTTTAATCGACATTCATTCAAATCCTTTCACTATTTTTTTTCCATTTGACTGATGTTTCTATCAAAGTCGGAATCTAAACCCCAGCGAACAATTCTTGATTATGGGTCCAACAGCGAGTAGAGAGTCGTTTATATAAGCACTTAGGGGCCAAGATTGATATGGGTAATATTATTTTGTCAAAAAGCCAACTTACTTTATGGGCCATTCAGAACACATGCGAATCGAAACCACATGCTCTCCTATCGTATAAAAATACCTCAAACTCGGTTTATTTTGAATTTTGCCCTTTGTCTTGAATGTCCCGTCCCCAAATAGAACCTATATTTTGCTTCATCTCGACGGCTTGACAAGTCAAACAGCATCAGTAATCATCTAATCTTAGCTTATTCATAAGTCCCAGAATAGATTTGCCTTTCTACTGCAAAAGCGCGGATTACGTAGAGTGCTTTGAATAATCCGGACCTTTTCTGAGACAGTTCCTATAACCCATGTTTACTTCTCTTAATTATCAATCGATTTTTCTTGTCTGCTGGTTTCAAAGTTCTAGCATATCTGTAAAAATATTGAAAAAATGTTAAACGTTCCTAAACGAATGTGAACTTTTTATTTGCAATTTTGCGTGGATAAGAAAATTTTCAAGAACTATGGAGCCTGTCGAAACTTTGTGGAATAGTACCTCATCTTTCTGAAGTCCTTCGGCGAACAGGAGAATCCAGTAAATCCTCGTAAATCAAAGCTTTGGAGTCAGCTCAGCTTTGAGTAAACCACGACTTGCGCGTTATAATCTCACAAACATCTTGACCATCACTTCTCTCCCCCCCCCCCCTTCCTTCACCTTTTATAGCTTTTTCATATTTTGGTCGATTGAGGAACGAATTTCCAGTTAATGCCCACTTGGCAGCGTGCCAAAGTCATCAAGAAGTCTTTATTGTCGGTTTTAAACTTCATGGCCATAGTAATGGTTTCTTTCCGGCTTGGCGGATAATGGATTTTGGCGAAAATTATGAAATCAATCGAATCTTTTGAAGTATCGTCTAACAGCTGTTGTCTGCATTTTAGGCTTGAAATAGGATTTAGGAATATTGCTTTAGAGTTTTGGAAAAATGGAAATTTGCATAAACAGTTCTTTCCTCAAATTTATGTACCTAGAAGAAGCCCTGGGCAAAATTTTCCTCCACATTTCCTCTCCAAGCCACGAATTTCTTCCTGATTGGCAATGCATGTGTTTTTTGAAGTAAAAAAGCGAACACAATCCACGTCGTTAGCCTAAAGGACAATTTCGGGCTTCGTTTCCGACAAGGACACAGGAGACTTAAACTTTTCCATCAACGATGTCGGAGCTCAGGTGGTAACAGACATGCCACTCCAGCTTTTCCACGATGGGAAATTACCTTTTTTTTTAAATTGGATGTTTGCTTTTTGATTTCTGGACTTCTATATATAGCCATCAACAGGGGCGGATGGGAGAAGAAGTGAAGGGCGGGGGTCAAAATGTACCACACGGGCTCTCAATCCATGCAAATAACTCATGTCTATTTGTAGAGAATTGAGGATCCGGTGAAGTTTCTGAGAAAAAAATTGCCGTTTTGGAGTTAAAAATCTGCTAAAAAGTTTGAAAATTTTTTTGAAAAAGACCTGATTCTACTTACTCTAACTTGAAATGCTTTACGATGTGTCACGTTCCCCCCTCCCCTCCCACCAGAAAAAAATTCTTGCCACCACCACTTTCTGTAGTGAGCTTTTTCGTGCTAAATATCATTACACCCCTTATAAATTATAACACTTGTCGTTTTGTCTTCAAACACCTGGAGGGAAGACGCACCTCCCAGTTCAGATACTGACTTCTTTCTTCTGCTGAAGTAATAGGAATTTCTCCCATTTTTCGGGAGCTCGAGAAGTTTGTCAACCAAAGAAAGCACTTTTGCCACATTTTTTTTCGTATACATATTTCTCGTATTAGTCAACCGTCATGTCCTAGAGTTTCAATATATCATCTTAGAGCCTTGCACTGACGGACTACTATAATACACACTGCAAGTCTTATTCACAGTTATCTCAAACAACCGTTCCTGTCACTGGGTTACTGTAAGGTTACGGTACATGCATAGGTGTACGGTACCAACAATAAGAGAGCTAAAAGGCCCACTTTACTACTTTACGCTACAATGTAACTTTTAAAAAAGTGATGCTCTATGATTCCCCCCCCCCTCTTCAGTCGCAAAATTCCCAGCATCTTCTTTAGTCTCCTATACCGTCCAACTCCTTGTCCCCAACAGGGCTCGGCACTAGATGGCTTTTGGAAATTGCAAAAAAAAAACGAAGTCTCCTTTGACTTTACCAGAATTTTACGAAGTCCCCTTTGACCCTACAAAGCTAAAAAAACCCAAAAAACGAAACGTCGACCAAAAGAAAAACATCGCAAATTTTGTGTCTATTCGGCCACAAAAACGAAACCACCTTTGTTTTTTGTCCCAAAACGATATCCAGCTTGCTTACCAAGCCACCTGTGCCGAGCTCTGATCCCCAAGAAGGAGGACATTCGTTGCGAACGTATACGACAATAGTTTCGATACCGAGGGGGTAATTTTAATACTTTTGAGTTTTCTGGAAAGTCTTTAAATGTAGTGGGTTCTATTAATTCTTGACAGACTTTGTCGACATTATATCTTTATTCCAAAATTATTCGTGTGACTTCTATACTAATTCCTTCTCTCAAAGATATTTATTTTTTGCTTCAGCTTTGATGTTCAATGTTTAAGGATCAAACGTTGATTTACGAATTACTTAACGCTCGATGCTCTAGTCAACAAATCTGAATTAGTTAATGTCATAAGCTATCCTGCTTTTTCATGTCTTACTTCTCATATCAATCTAATTTTTCCTTTTAAGTCGCTCTATTTGTTTTTTTTTTGACTGAAAATGATTTCGTTGCCTACTGATTGGCAATAAAAATTCAAAAAGGGTTGAATTTATCATAAAAGTCCAAAAATAATACTATCCCTTCAAAGAAGACGTTTTAGAGATCCTTTTTTGAATTTTTGAGAACTCTTTTGGTTACCTAGAAATTTTGGTTCTCTTGTCGTGACTTTAAAAGTTATTGAATGAATCATTATGTACATTCTTGACTCAATATCTCTTTTTCGAAATTTGCATAAGAATTCATTTCATTTTCCTTATAAAAGCGCTCTCACACAAATTAACATCATATTTCATTTTTCCCATATTGCTTTCGATTTCTATTTATGACAAATACTTAGAAATGCATGCACTACCATTTTTCACATTCTCAAAAAGTCAAAGACAAGCTTTGATACAGACGTGTGATTTATGATATCCTTTCATATTTCAGTGCATTACACAAGCTCTCAAATACCGTAACCCTAGCCAGCTCCATTAACTCAATGAAAACCGACTGGTAAAAGGGT